AAGCGGGCGCCCCCTGCAAACTGGAAGGGCGCTGCGGGCGGGGGACCCGGGCGTCGGGTGCAGGGCTGGCGAGGCTCCCACATCCCAGGTGTTGCTTATGTGCTGGGCCAACCGGGGAAGGAGCCGCCGGCCATGAACTTCTGGGTCTCGGCGCGTCCGGGCCTTGGGGGTACAGCGCGTGGAGAGCGCTGAGCGCGCGCCAGCCACCTGCTGTCCCCGGCCTCGGTGTCTCGGTCTGTGCAATGGGGCCCGCGCGGTGGGGGACAGTTAGCACCGCAGCTCCGGTTCCAAAGGCCAGTCCCTGCCCTTCCCGCTGGACTGCCCAGCCCGCCCTGCCGAGGGTGGGAAACTGGCTGTGGGTGGCTGGACACAGGACTCGGGGCCAGTCCTGGCCCGAGCACCCTGCGCGGCTGACGCGCCTCCTGCGGCCCAACACCAGAGGCGGAGCCTGGATTTGAGGGCATGTCCCCAGCCCGCCCTCTCCGCGGCCCTAGGTTCGCTCCCGAGAACCGGACAGAGGGCGCAACTTCTGAATCTGCGCCCACGTGGGGTAAAAACCCTTCGGATGGTGCAAAAATGCCTCTTTCTCACCTGTATCCCTTCTTCCGGTGGGGACTGGTGGCAGGAAGGGGCCTGGTTCCTGTGCCCTGCATGTCCAATCCTACCTACTATTTTGGAGATATGTCTACCTGGATTCCTTGCCTTTTTTGGAGAGATTTTTGATATGGGGTGTGTGCACTTACCAGAGAGACAGAGAGACACAAAGACGAGAAATCACCCCTGGCGGGGGGATGGCTTCCCCGCAAGCCCTTCTCCTCTCTTCTCCTTTTTTTTTTTTTTTTTTTGGAGAGGTTTTCGCTATAGGGCGTGTGTGCTCGCCAGATAGACAGAGAGAGACATAGAGACAGAAAGCGAGAAATCACCCCCCAGAGGGGATGGTCACGCCGCAATCCCTTCTCCTCCATTCTCCTCTCGGGATCTTGGGCATGCATGCACACGTGCCCGTCGTGAGTTTTAAGCCACACGGTCCAGGCATGAACTGCGGTCGACTACGTGGGAGTCCAGCGACATAGCCATTACGCTAACTGCTGGTTCCTTCCTCTCTTCTCCTTTTGTTATTTTTGTTGACACATGCACATGCACCTAGTGTGAGTTTTAAGCTGCCGGGTCCAGGACTCGAACTACGGTTGACTCCATGGGAGTCCAGCCACTTTACCATTCTGCCATCTGCTGGTCCCATCGTACTCCTTGCATTTTAATGGGTAAAGTAATGGTCATTTCCTCTTCTGGAAAAGTCTAGTTGGCCTAAAGCGGTTGAAGGATTTTCCGGTATTTGTGGCAGTGTCTGGTGTGGCTTTGGTGGTCACTGGTGGCCCACGTGACACACAGCAGTTGCATATTAATCAGCCCCACATGTGCTCAATGCTCAGAGGGTGGAGTTTTGCATGGCTGAGCCACTGCCTGAGTGCTCATAGCTGTAAAAGGGTTTTCCTTCAGCAAGGGCGCCTGAAAGTGAAATGCCGCCCCGGGTAAGGCTGGGTCCCCAACCCCCTTTCCTGTGAGAAGAGTGTGATGTCCTGTGGGAATTGTGCTCTCTGTATCTGCATAAAACACCTTAATATTGAGGCATGTGCTGAAATGCTTTGCTTTCATGGTAAAGGTTAGACAGATAAAGTATTAATGACCCCAGGGCACTTGCTGGAAAGACAGAGAGACAGAAAGCAAGAAGTCACTCCCCAGGTGGAATGGCCACGCTGCAATCCTTCCTCCTCCATTCTCTTCTTGGGATCTTATGCACGCACATGTACCTAGGGTGAGTTTCAAACTTCTGAGTCCTGGACTCGAACCACGGTCAGCCATGTGGGAGTCCAGCCATGTAACCATTCTGTCAACTGCAGGTCCCAAGAATCAGACATTTAAGATGTTATTTTCTCTTGTTTGTCCCAAACGGGACTCTGTATTTGTACCCAAATGTGACACTTCTTTGAATGCGAAAAGGACAGTATGTTTTTGGCCACCTCACATCTTTTTTTTTTTTCTTTGGAAAGGTATTTGCTATAGGGCACGTGCGCTCGCCAGAAAGAGAGAAACAGAGACAGAAAGTGAGAAATCACCCCCCAGGGGGGATGGCCACACCACAATCCCTTCTCCTCCATTCTCCTCTTGGGATCTTGGGCCCACACTCCGGGCTTTGCGTGAGTTTAAGCCACCAGGTCCGGGACTTGAACCATGGTCGACTACATGGGAGTCCAGCGACATAGCCATTACGCTAACTGCTGGTCCTCCACCTCACATCCTTTTGAATGGAGAGGAAAAAATAGTTTTAGCCTTGTAGCAGTTAAAAATAAGCCCCAGGGGCCGTCCAATGGCAAGGTGTTGGGGGTAGCTCGAAACCCACGGGGCTGGCTGTATGTGTGGTTCGAGTCCTGAGCCCAGTGGCTTGAAAGACATACCAGGTGTGTGTGCATGCATGCTCGGGGTCCCTAGAGGAGAATGGAGGAGACGGGATTGCAGCGTGGCCGTTTCCCAGCGTAGGACAGGTGCTTTCTCACTCTCTGTGTCTCTTTTTCCAGGAAGTGCACACTCCCTGTAGCAAATTCAAAATATTAAAAACAGATAAATAAATAAAATGCCCCAGCACTCAGATTATGAATCCTTCATATTAAAAGCAATTTGAAGGACCAGCAGATGGTGTGATGGTTATGGCGCTGGATTCCCACGTAGTAGGACTCCCACGGTTTGAGTCCCAGACCCAGTAGCTTAAAATTCAGTGCAGGGCACATGTGAGTACATGCCCAAAATCCCAATAGGAGAGTGGAGGAGAAAATTGCTGTGTGGTCATCTCCAAGGGTCGGTGGGTGGGTGGGTGGGCGGTGATTTCTTACTTTCCGTCTCTCTGTCTCTGTCTCTCTGGTGAATGCATGCGCCTCATAGCAAAAATCTCTAAAAAAACATAAACAGGGACCAGCAGTTAGCGTAATGGCTATGTCGCTGGACTCCCATGTAGTCGACTGTGATTCGAGTCCCGGACCCGGCGGCTTAAACTCACGCTGGGCACGTGTGTGTGTGCGTGCCCAAGATCCCAAGAGGAGAATAGAGGAGAAGGGATTGCTGCGTGGCCATCCCCCCTGGGGGGTGATTTCTCGCTTTCTGTCTCTCTGTCTCTCTCTGTCTTTCTGGCGAGCGCATGCGTCCTATAGCAAAAACCTCTACAAAAAAAAAAAACCCATAAACGAAGTAAAAGCAATCAGGATTATATAACCTCACGTGGGTGGTACATCTAGTCATCCGCGTATTTTACCATCTTAGATTTGGGATGGAATTTCTCGCGAGCCAAGGCAATGACAAGTTGCAAGTTGGCCGATCTTAAACCTGTGGTGACAGAGCCCCGGGCTGCCTGCCAGTGGTAAAACCTGCCTCCCCACCACTGCAGACCTCCTTCCCTGACAGTCTGGCTCCTCTGCTCCGAAAATGCTCACATCGTCTCCATCCCGTCTTCCAACTTTCTAAAACATTTTAATTCTTTGCTGAGAATATTTTGGCAATCAGATGTTTTTCCAAACACAAAAATATCCAAGCGTTGATAGAAGAAAACTTTCGGGGGACCAGGAGTTAGCGTAAAGGCTACATCGCTGGACTCCCATGTAGTCAACCGTGGTTCGAGTCCCAGACGCGGTGACTTAAACTCATGCCGGGCGCGTGTGCGTGCGTGCCCAAGATCCCGAGAGGAGAATGGAGGAGAAGGGATTGCGGCGTGGCCATCCCCCCGGGGGATGATTTCTCACTTTCTGTCTCTCTGTCTCTCTCTCTCTGTCTTTCTGGCAAGTGCACACGCCCTATAGCAAAAACCTCTCAAAAAACAAAACAAAACAAAACAAAAAGACCAACAAACCAAACCCCCCCCAAAAAAACCCAACTTCTGTTTTCTCCTCTAGGGAGAAGGATCCTCTGCTGAGGCCATGACCTTGGGCTCTTACTCTTTGACCTTGAGCTTCCAGATCCTGGCCTGTTTGTTGTCTGTCTGATAGTGCCCACTCCTCCTCCTCTCCTTATATGATTTCTTTCTTTCTTTTTTTAAAGAATTATTTGATTTCTGGGGACCAGCAGTTGGCGTGGTGGTTAAGGCGCTGGACACTCGCTCATGGCCGACCAGGGCGCG